AACGCTAACAGTAACAATCAATCACGCATTCTACCCAATATAAGCTATAGGAATGATCTCTACGATCGCACAAACACTACATCCCCAGCTTATGACGTGCCACGTGCCGTGCGTTCCGGTTTGGGATTTCGACGCAATTTCCACATTGATCTACAAGGCGGTAAGTTGGTGTTTCCCAATAGTAAAGGGATTCGTTTTTTTATTTTTTATTTTTAAATTTTTTTTTTTTTTAAATAAATAATACTAAAAAATTCTCACTTCTCTCAAAAGCCAATCGTTTTAACGCTTCACGAACCAGCGCATCCAACACAGCGCCCACCTCGGTTTATGGCAGTAACAACAACTGTCAACGCCAGCGTAGTTTCGATGACACCGAATCTCAAAATTATTACAATTTCAATTACCAGCCAAGTTTACGTTACGAAAATATTTACGAACAAATACGTGATGAACCCATTTACCGAAATACCGGCAGCGGCGCTAGAGTCTATGGGCGTTTAGATGTTATTGGTCATGGTATTGGTCGTATTGAGCGTCATTTGAGCTCATCATGCGGCAATATTGATCACTACAACCTGGGTGGCCATTATGCAGTACTCGGCCACTCGCATTTCGGCACTGTCGGTCACATACGTTTAAATACCAGTGCTAGCGTTACCAATGCACCAATTATTAATAGTGGCTGTAGCATGAATACGGCAGTAACAAATACCACTGCGTCCACAGCAACTAATGTGACCACAACGTGCAGTCAAAGAGATGCCAATAATGTTAAAAACAGCGCTTCATCCTTCTTTAGCTGTTTGCAGGGCGAAAATGCACAGAGTATGAGCAATATATATCGTGCTTCTGTCGGTATAGGTAGCAGCATGGCGACCACATGTGCAACTGGTGCTGGACAACAGATACCCACGCAATTCAATTGTGGTAAGTCTCCAAAAAAAAATAGTTTTTTAATTTGTTAAATTGTATATCTATTATTATTGTAGTTGTACCGAATAATACTAAAGAACGAGAACCACGTTCGGCCTCTGCGGGCCCAATATCAATAAGTACTAATAATGGCAATGCCAATGATGGACCCGCCACTTCCTCAGGCACACGCCAAACAGGCGCTATACCAAAAATTAAAGCGCTCGCTTTAAACTCAAAGCCCAGCACTTCTTCAAATAATGCCAACAACATTGCAACAGAGAAGACAGTCTGCATTAAAAATGCAATCACCAAAAAGCCAACAAACAATACGAATAGCGCAGCGCCAGCGACAACAGCTAAAACAAGCACAACCAGCCCCGAGCACACCGCAAATTCGAGCACCTTGAATCGCATTTCCAAATCCAGTCTGCAATGGTTGTTGGTAAACAAATGGTTGCCATTATGGATTGGACAGGGACCAGAGTGCAAGGTATGTCAGGGTATAAGTAAAAAACTAAAACTCAAATTAAAAAATATTTTCTCGCAATCCTTACAGGTTATCGACTTCAATTTTATGTTTTCCCGCGATTGTAGTGGTTGTGACGCTGCTTCCGCCGCCACGCATATGTCCAATCCATATTATACGCCACGTTTGGGTGGCATGATGCCACATGATTTGATGCGTTTTAGTGCAGCTAATGCTGAGATCCACGCGCCTTGTGCAGCCGCTTCGACGGCCTTAAGGCGCGATCTCAACATGCGACCGCGCGCCTTGAATCGTTTGCGTGAATACGAGCAGAATCGACGTGATACGGCCACACATCGTTACGAGGATCCTTCGTATGAAAATGTACACGTACATTGGCAAAATGGTTTTGAGTTTGGACGTTCGCGTGATTATGAACATAATCATCAAAATGCAACAGGCACAACACGCCCACAGCTACAACGTGCGCGCTCCGAAAGTCCAAATTTTAACACACAACAACGACGCATACGCCAAAATTCCACTGCAACACAAAGTGGCAATAACGTTCCACCTGCCGCCGGCTATAGTACAACAAAATACATAGACACATTCAAGAATTATGTGCTCAATGCGGAAAACAACACGTTCAAACCGAAACTGAAATCTGAGAATAGTGACGTTTTAAATTGTGCAGCGAGTGGTAGTGGAAGTGTAAGTGGCGCCGCTGAAGTAATAATAAATCCCTTAGCAGATAATCTTGACGGAAATGAAACTCCGCCAGTTGCCGAGCTCGAAGCTGATATGGATGAGATCGTCGCTGGCATTAGCAATGAAACGGCGGCTTGCAGTGCCATTGCCAATATAGATGATAATGAAGGTGAACAACCCGTAAATTCAAATCGAGTAGCAAATGTTACTGGAAGAGAAAATATATACATAAATGACAACGAGACTGATGCAACAAAGACAAAAGCCACTAACGACAGCAACAATATGAATGTAAAGTCTACTAACAAGGAACAAAACGACGATTGAAAGCACAAGCGATTATTGCATTGCTATGCAACAACAAAATATGCTAAGATGAGCAAACTATATGTTATCTGATACATAAAGAGATAACTAAGAATTTTGCAGATGGAGAAATCGTAGAAATAATTAGAAACCCAGTAGTTTTGAGTATTAAGTTTTCAGTTGAGCAAAACAGCAGAATTTTAAAATGTACATCAGAATTAAATATTCAATTTCGTAGTGAACAGTAGCCATATGTATGAAATTAGCAAACAGCAATGAAAAAATCTACACATCCATTAAAATAATGTTCTAACTATATACGCGCTCATAAAACCAGCAATGTGCGATTTCCTTAGGCAAAATACACATTTTGCAATATAGCGTAAAATTAGATAACTTAACAGGATTTATCCCTTTGTATTTTCGACGTGTTTTTTTAGTTACATGTTTATACTCATGTTAACTTTTAATTATGTATAAGTAAAACATATGTATAAGTTTTTTTTTTCTATTTACTCATTATTGCATTATTCATTGCATGGGTTTTACAATATTCTCATTGCTCTGTTGTTTATTCTATAAATATATAGTATGTACTAATTTATTTGATAAAGACAATACATGTAAAAATACCTACGAACATATTTAATAACAAAGTTGTTTATTTTACCCATAAAACTACAGGCACATAAGAACTGCCACCACTGTACGGGGTGTATTCAAAGAAAAAGGTGATTTTTGAATTTTTTTGAAAAGCACTTATATATTCATCAATATCTATTTGGTCCGCTTCAAAGCATCCTCATCGGATATAAATAATACACTTGTGTCAACGCTTTTTCCAATCCTTGTAGCACTTCTGAAATGCGTTTTTCGGTATGGCCATGAGCTCTTTCTTCAATTCTGACTTAATTACGGCCAAAAAATCAGGAATAAACATTGATGTGTACGCTGGTGCATTATCGTGTTGCAGAAACCACGATTTGTTTTGTCACAATTCCGATCGTTTGAGCCGTATTGCTTCACGCAAATGTTGCTTCTTCCTTGTAGTATTTCTTATTAACTGTACGACCTTTTCGCAGGAACTCATGATGCACCACACCATTGTAATCAAAGAAAACAGTGAGCTAAACCTTCACATTTAATCGAACTTGCCCTGCCTTTTTCGGTCTGGGCTTCTCATCTGGCAACTTCCATATACCTACACTTCGTCACCAGTTAAGACCCGTTTGAGCGAACCCGCCTCGTTGTTGACATAATTCAACCACACCTGAGCGACATTGCGTTTGCTCAAAATTTAGCAATTTCGGAGCCAACTTCGCTGTCAAACGTTTCATGCCCAAAACCAAGGATAAGGAGATGCCCAACTCGTCTCTCACTGGAAATGAGAGCGCAATTGATAAACGTCAAAACCTACTGAACTCAAGCAACTGTCAAAGTTCAGTAGGTCTGACGTTTAGCAATTGGAAAAAGAGGGACGGCCAGATTAAAATCCTACAGAAAAATATGTAAACGGAGAAATTTGTGCTGCTGTTGAAGATCACTAACAAAAATTAGAAAACAATGAAAATGAAAGAAAACGCGAAATTGAAATGTATGTGATGATATCTTTTGTGATGTCATGCTAAGTGGTATTGATTTTCAATTGAAAATTTTTAAAAACATTTATTAATTGAGAGCTAATACATTTATTCTTTTGATTACGTATTGAAAGTTCAAAGATCAATTGTTTAATAAATCACAAAATCACAAAAAAAAGAGTATAAAAAGTTTCTGCATATGTTTAACGGATACATGTATAATAATATTTAATCTTAATAAATGATGGGTATTTTAATTTAAATTCCCAAAAATTATTATTTTGTACCATCTGGCTACAATGGAAAATGTTATAAAAAACGCTAATTTTGAGGCGCTCTCACACTGGAAAGAGTTGGGCATCCCATTATCCCTGCCCAAAACATTGGAGAACATTGAATGGCATGAGCCGATTGATATGCCAACATCATCTGCAACTTCCCTAATAGTGATTCAATGATTTTCAAGAACAATTTTTTTCTCTATTTCGATGTTTTTTTGCCTTTCTTTTCGCAAAATTCAAAATCCTCTGAACACACCTCGTATGTAGGCAGTTTCGTTTACAAGTCTGTAACAACGTGTCTGCACTGTCAATTTTTACAACTATTGTATATGTCATGCATGGTATAAAGGCGTTGAGAGCAGAGAACTTAGATTTGAATAGGAGAAATATATTTTTTTCAACTTTCTTACACTGGAGTGAGTAAAGACAACCAACTTTATGTTGTGACTAGCAGCAAACTAACTTATAAGTTGTTTATCTGTTTTGTATGTATTCATTAGTTAACAGATCAGTGCCGAAGTAAGTAAGTATTTAGTTCGTGTGTTGGGTAATTACACTACGCGAGTTACGTATTTTCAGCTTAAAAGACAAGCCCCTCTTGGATTTCTCTACCTGTATTATATTAAGTTTTGTGTTCGATATCACAGATAATACTTTTTTCACAAAGTCCCTTAATATATTCTGAAAACCAAATGAGTGCCTTAGCAAAGGTAAAAAATCAATTAATACAATTGTTTTAATCCGATATCAAGAATTGTGAAGTTTCCTGTAGTTTGTGCTTCTCAAATAACTCTGCATATGATACAGCGTATCTATATTCTTAGTGTATAGCAATTTTATTGAACACACTCTATAATTGCGACCCTGTACTCGCTTCAACGATTCGTTGAACATCAAAAACATTTGTTCAGATAAAATCGTGTTTGCGGGTGAGTTGGACGTGAAATTTTGCAGCGCTGGGCGTTTATTTGATACTTTTCTTTGTTTTATCTCTGCTGCATTATACCTACTTGCATTTGAACAGACTGTACTTTTGTAAAGAAAGAAAAACGAAAAAGTAAAAAAAGGAAATCTTTTATTGCTAGATTATAAGTAGTTATTTTATGCAGAGAAGCGTCGTGTTTATTACCTTTTATAATTATATATGTATGGATCCACGCTATAAAATTGTTTAATATCGAGTGTTACTTCGAAAGGCATATTAGTGCCGAGTACAAAGAAAATCCGCAATTTCGGTTAAATTTGTCGTTTACAATATATAAATTTGAAAGCATATATTAAAAAAATGGTGGCATTTTTGCATAAGTTAAATTAGTGCTTAAATAGTTTGCTATAGAAGGAAATGTATTTTCCATGCGCGAAGAATAAGCTGGAAACGTGGCCAAATTTCCTGTAATAGATTTTATTCTGGACATGAACCATTCAACACATTTTCGAGTTGCCACTTGATTTTATTCGGCAAGTATTTTAAAGCGAAACATTTACACGATTTAGTTGAAGTAGCGATGTCTTACACTTGAAAGTATGAAGCACCGTCACAACAGAAATTTTAGAGGCACTTTTGGTTGATTTCTATTTATGTGGTAACGCTGAAAGATGTTTCTTAAATTTAGCTGCGGTTTAGAGTATCAACAATCTATTACAACCACACGTCGCCATGTTTAAAAATTTCTCTATACTATTTTCGCAGTCTTACAAAATACTTTGGAATTAACATTACATATAGCAATATCGTCAACGAGGGATTGTATTATTAAAATTATTCATTAAAAAATATTGTCTTTTACAACAATAATAGTTATGTTTGTTTATTGTTGCCAATAAAAGCGTTAGGTAATTTTTTCATTAATTTTTAAGCAGGTTATAATGAAATAAAGAAACATGTTTAGGGGTTAGGTACTTTTGTACTTGTTTCGTCATATATTGTAAATCACGCACGTACTATTTTGTACATTTTTATTAAAGTTTGGTTTATCTTGTTTTGTAGTTGAAAACATATGGAAAGTAATGAATGCATACTAAAGTTATGTAATTTGAGTCAATACGAAAAGTTGTATCGAGAGTGGAAACAAGATCTAGTGTGACGTCAACCGTCTTATTATTGGCTATCGTTAAGATTATTTTGAAGTAATCTTGAAACAAATATGGTGAGTTGGTTAATTTACTTCAATGTATAAAATTTCGTAAATAAAGAATTTATAAGAAAATAAATATCGTGTTTTTCCTAAATTATAACGTCAATATACTAATTTTACTTTTCATTAAAATTTCAGCCGCGCATAGTACCTTTGCAACTTCTTAAGTGCCTAAAGGTGCTTTTGGACGACAATGGGGGTATCCTTAGCATTGGAGAAGTCAAGCGGATCGCGGGGTAAGTTCAAATATTTAATTATATTAATAAATTTCAATGTGCAAAGCATAAAGTCATCACTTGGCATGCAACTGTGCGTAATGCGTTCGTAAATATTGTAATTTTAATTTTAGGGTTGCATTTAACACGAATTTATTTTAAGAAAAGTAAACTAATGCTGTATATTTTTTATTCCAGATTGATGAATAGATATTCAAAGAAACTTGTATCAAAATGCATTTATGTACAAATATTAAAAGTTACTAAAACGGAGCTACTTGGTGAATTTATGGGTGTTGGTGGTTGGTCACTGGTATATAACTGGTTAAACGATGCAATACGAGCAATGAATTGGCCGCTTGTGCAAGAAATTTTAGAGCTACTTTTACTTTGTCCAGTTGATGTGGATCGACTAAAAATAAATTCTGCACCAAAGTTGGTGAAGGGTCTTTGCCGGGATGGCGGCAATGAAGGTAAGCCTTATTCAATAAAATTATCTCGCCAAATCTTAAAGTTTTTTTGTGCATACTTTGAAGAAAATTAGGGATTAGTGCATCTTCAAAGATATTATTGCAATTTAATCTTTATTAAAAACATTTATGACAAATTTTAATTATATCCAGTGTAACCAGTTCTAGTTGGCATCCAAAAATTAAGAAGGTTATTATTTGTTATTGATCTTTTTTGCTGTCAAAGTTTATTTATAGTGTATATTTGTTGTCAACATTTGACAACATCGGTTAATTTACTTTCCCAACAATTAAAACAACAAAATTCATTAAAAACAATTACTAAAAATCGCCTAAATGACGATTATATTTTTATAAACTTTTATTATTTATTTTAGGAGTACGTATACTTGCAAAACGTTTGGTGGAGCAATGGTTGAAAGTAGTGACAGAGAATACTACAACAGCTCAAGTAGAAAGTTCTCCTCAGCAATCGGTTATTGGTGCAGCAACTCCTAATGTTTCCACAATACCTGCCATTCAAACGACACCTGCTATACGGCAAGACAGCAAAATACCACAAACCTCTAGCATACCATTAAAAGTGAAAGGGCCTGCAGTTGTACAGCGGTCGCTTTCAAATTCCGCTGAACAAGACCCACTTGCAGATGTCACAGATGTACCGCCTGAGCCATCCACGTATGCACCAACACCTGCACAGAAGAAAGCTAGTGAAGCAGGATTGGTGTTCAAACTGGTTTATAAAGATGGTCAACAAGTTTTGACACAAGTACCAAAAACCAATCAACTAGGTTCTTCTGCTGTGGATGTGGAGCAAAATGTCCAACGAAAAGAGAATGAGGACGATTGTAAGACAATGGATCATGATGGCAACATGAATGGCGATACAGAAGCTGAAGGTGGCACGGCTGCTCAAGAGGAAGAAGAGAATGATAGAACTGCGGATTCTACAATTATAGAAGAGGAAGACGATACTCGAACATCAACTGATAAACAAGACAAAGATAGTGAAAGTAGTGCTGATGAAGAATCTCAGACAACATCGAATAGTAACATGCTTTCTCTAGAACAATCTGCTACCATACGAAAAAAGTCTATAGATACAGAAAGTGAGAAATCTATAAGTAGAGAACATAGAAGCTCTAAAGACTCCAGAGACAGCAAAAATAGGGATAAAGAAAATAAGAGTGATAAAGATAAAGATAGGAAATCATCGTCATCTTCTACTCATAAATCATCTAGTCACAAATCGAAAAGTTCGTCTTCGAGCAAGTCAAAATCTTCATCCTCATCCTCTTCACGCCGCAGTTCAAGTGATAAGCATCGGAGCGATAAGGATCGTTCAAGTTCTAGCAAAGATAAAGATCGAAAAGAGGGTAGTAGCAGTAGCAGCAGCTCAAGTAAACATAGATCCTCATCATCAACGTCAAAATCTTCGTCCTCAACTAGTTCAAAAGACAAACATCGTGATAAAGATAAGGACAAATCAGCTAATACTTCTTCTTCATCGCATAAAAAAGAAAAAGAGCGTGAAAAAGAAACACCAAGTGACAAGGATAAAGAATCTAATTCCAAGTTGTTATCTACTTCAGATAAACTAGGTCGTATCCCTAAAAAGCATAAAGATGAGTCGGAAACAGATGTGACAAAGCCTACTTCAATAACTATTCCTTCAAAGAAGGCCTCAATGTCAATAGAAATACGTCGTGACTCGGAAAAGGCTAAAACTGTGAAAACATACAAATCACAATTTCGTTCACATGGCCTTACTGAGGAAGCTCCCCCACCACCATCGCGGAAAGGACTGAAGAAACCAGTTTCAAGCGTTTCTGCACCCGGTACTGTCATTCCAACCAGTTTGCCATCATCACTAAAACGCCCTTCACCGCCACCAAGCAGCAGTGATTCACCAACGCAAAAGAAATCTAAAATTGATATCAACAATCTAACAGTAGCTAATGAGAAACCTGGAGCTATCAAACTTATCGCTCCAAAGAAAAGTAAGTATTTTGTGTTACGACATTTACTAATGGCATTCTGCGTTATTTCTTTGCAGGAGTTTGGATGATACTAGTTTTTGCTTGTGGTTTATTATATACTTTTTAAGGTGGTATTTTGTGTTTCATAAAAAATGTAGACTGTCGTCTCCTTAGTGTTGGCAACACCACGCTTCGTCATTGGACTGTGTGGAACAATGGAACTGAATTTATTGAATCTTTGCTTTCTGTTTTCCAAAATTCCTACATAGACTAGAAGCAACGTTGGCGTATTGTCAAAACACTACTTGCGATGGTCTCGCCATGGTTAAGCGGAGTAATTTTAAGGTGTTTTAACGCGTATAAATTTTTATTCTCCTGGTGTGTTAAGTATTAAAAAACAAATGCTACGGAATTTAACTATGAAAAATTAGATTGGCTCTTTAATAACTTAAAAAAAAGCTGATTGTGCTTAAATCATTTAATGTTAATGTGATGTTTCGAAGTGATAAATAACAATATATTTATTGTCACGGGAGAGGATCAAAGATGCATACACGTGATACTTGATTTATTGTCATGGGAGAGGATTAAAGATACATACACGTGTTACTAGATCGATCTTCACTTCCTTACTTGAATTGCAAATTCAAATTTTATTCGTTATTTAATATTTGTGTATCAAATTATTTTTGATATCAGAGCTTTTTGCATTGATTGCTGCTGTAATTGATAAACCGGCACACCGAGATAAATGCAACTATAATTTGTGAAGAAATTGGTCGATAGTACAGTGTAAAATCATCAAAATCGACATCGAAATTTGAGATACAAAATATCACGAACGAATTTAAAAATAGTTTAGCGGCTTCATTATTATAAACAATCAAACTTCGTGCCGAGAAACGATTTTTAAAGGCACTATTTTTTTTTTGTTTTGTTGATTCCTCTCACAAAATTAAACGACGCACAAACCGGAATGAGACTATCACTGTTGGTAGTTTTCCCCCACCTAGTCAAGTGGAAACAGGCTGTTAAGTATGAATTTTTGTCTTATATTCTAATTTTAAATTTTAATATTCACATTAACTGTTTATTCGTGTACATTGCAATGTTGTGATGCCACGAAGATGTTTATTATTTTTTAGTTGATAAGAAAACAAACATTAAAACATAAGACAACAAAGAGTTGGTGAATAATAAACAATTCTTTTCAACAAAATAAATAATTTGAGCTAATGGTCGTCGAAGTTTGGAAGCAGTGTTAATAATTGAAAAGGCAAAGAAATTTTACACAGAATTGGAAAAGAGTGGGTTTAGTATTTTCTGCCATTTTATACATTGGAGTTATTTACCACCTATATATATATGCGATATACATCATTAGAAAGAATCACTAAAGGCAAGATGACGCCAAATTTACTGAAATTTCTGCACACATTTTTAAGACCAATCAAGGCATATACCTAAAGCATTTTGACTTAATTCGTTCAGAAAAGGCTCACATTCTATGACATTTTCATGCACAATTTCAATTACAATTTCCAAAAAAAATTACAAACGTTCGCTTGTTATTTTTTTTTCAAATATAGCTCAGAATATGTATTTATGATTTCAAGCCTTTCTGTAGCTGAAACATATAACTCATATAATGTATCGCCTCCGTTTTTTCATATATTTGCTCAAGCTTCTATAAGATTTTTTCATGAAAAGTCTACGTATGTATATCATGAGATCAATTAACCTATAAAAGAAATTAGCGTGACTTGTTTTTTCGTGGCTGCATAAAACCCATTTAATCCACCATTAATATTATTGCACTAGCATACATATTTAATTGATAGCGCATATACGATTTACCAGGATTTTGATCGTTAAATTTTTAATATTTTACCACTTTTACATGGATTGAGAAATATTACTTTTTCAAAAGTAATATAAATTCTTTATGTTATAAGTTAACCTCAAAACTTGACAGAATTGATATTATATATAGACTGCACCTCACACCAATCATTAAGCACTGCAGTAATATCTATGTCAAGAACATAGTGATCGTTACACAATTTCGAAAAGAGTTCAAGAGTATTTCTGGCATGACCCAAGATAAATTTCTCCTAGCAATCAATGCAGATTCATGTATATTTAGGAGATGCCTCACAAACTCGGTTAATGTGTATCCTAAATTAATAGTTTTACCGTATCAGGACCACTTTAGCTAAACTGAGTATAACCCTTTTCCCAACTGAAGGTTGGCTATATGCAACCGGAATCACTCATAATTTATATGCAGTCAATGGCTGTTACTTCAGCAGCTGATGCTATAACAAAAAAGTTAGCCATACAAAGAAGCGTATGTTTTGCTCCCGAAACAAGAGATATTGAAAATGTTACGAAAAAGGGAAAGCAGAAACTCACGTTTATACCACGGACCAGACTCACAATGCCCTATATCTATTTGGAATTGCCATCATGCATGTACGTTTTAACTTTTCTTTCTGAACTATACGGCTGAAAGCATTAAAACAGTTTTTAAATATGGACGAAGGTTTTCTGCTTAAGGAAACCGAAAAAATATCTTGTCTGCCTCCAAGCTTCGACTGCCCAGAGCGTGTTTTAATTTTTTGTATATATAAGTATTTAAACATATATTTTGAGCTTATTTAACTCAGTTGGATAAGTATCGTTTCCTTCAGAAGGGGTCTTGGGTTTAATCCGGGGGTTATTAAAAGTGAACTAACAAAATTCACCCCACCCCTTTATGTTTCCACAATTATAATCTATTTGATATAATGCATAACTTTCCGTTTTTAGGTATATGAAGATCACTTACGTTCCGCTTTTGCAAAAAATAAAAACCTACAGTTACTATATTTCAAGATTTTTTAAATTTAATTTTTTATTTTTGAACCCATTAATGCTATGATCATTTGCCACCTTAAAGCTGTGATCGCAAACCAATTTATTAAACTTCGGATAATAGTCTAATTTCCAAATTCAAAATAACCTTTATGGCGACTCTGAGCGTGGTTGTTTTTAAGTATACTTTCCTTCAAGGCATCACTTTAGTCGGGTCTTTGAATGAAGCACACTGATCATTTTTTGCTCGATATAGTTTTAGGTCCCCTTCCGATTAGCTGCTGGTTTTAGAAATCTACCTTTGAATTTATGTTCTACTACAAAGCTTTCCGATAATTCCATTTTATAAAATCCGAATCGAATCGTATCTATTAGTTTATACTGACTCTTTGGAGTATTTCAATTCTGAAAGACAAACCCCTGACAAAAGTGATATCATCATAAAAAGGGTGTTTAATACTGTGTCCCAATTTTCAAGCTTCAAACATTCTATACTGAGTTCCCAATCTGTGTGCAACACAATAGATGTATATCTTAACTATCAACGCGTTCCAAATTTTAATGTAGTTGTGTATTAAATAATAAAATTATTTTTTAATTAAGGTTATATATTTTTAAAAATCTATATAATTTGAAAATTTTAGCTGTATACAATGGACCAAAAGCAAAAACTAGCATCTGAACTCCTACCTCCGCGGAACTTGCCGTTGAAATGATCTTGTATGCAACTTTACACCATATTAATAATTGTTTCTTTAATTTCAGTTCAAACTCTTGTCGAGACAAATATCTTCTCGGACGCGCTCTCAGCAGCAACGGGCCCTAAAAAAGTTGCAAAACGTAAGCGGCCCACTACTCCTGGTCCTGGACAAAATAAGGAAGGTCCTTCACCACCTACCAGCCCAGATGCACCAAAGGTGGCGCCTTTAAAATTCTATCAGGACACATTGGATGAAAGTAAAAGCGAAGACAAATCCGATAAGGAGAATGATAGCAAAGATAATAACAACAAATCGGAAGATTTGGATTCAGCCGATAAGGGCAATAGCACAGAAGACGATGATGATATACCCTTGAAGAAGGTTAAGGAAGATATTGAACAAAAGGTATTGCGAGAACAAAAGACTGGTGATGACAGTAGCGATGCCGCAGTAACTAAGACCGGCGGCTCAGTCGATATCACTGGTAGTGATGGGGAAGAAGATGTCGCCACAAAAAGTTCCGAGGAAGACGCGCCCAAACCGCCTGGACCTGGTTGTGGTCCGAATGGGCCACCTGGTGTGCTTATGCTGCATCGACGCAAGGGTCCAAAAAAGAAGTTGACTTGGCGACCTCAAGACCAACTAGAGCAAATACGTTACTTTGAACTGGACGAAACAGAGCGTGTAAATGTGACAAAAGCACAGTCGTTTATGGATATGAAAAATCTTGAACGCTTTAGTGAACGCGATGCGATTAATATCGCCAGACGCGGTTTCACACATGAGGACAATATGCGACCATTAACCGAGTGGAGACCGCTGATCGAAGTTGATGGTGTGCCACCACATCCGAATGGTAATCAATCTAAACAGCGTAAGGTGCAAGCCGAACGCGAAATGACTACCTTGCGCGCACTATACTTCTCGCACAGCATGATCCCGGACTCACCGGCAGAAGCTGAATTAGAACCGCATTTCGCAGTCGACATACCCGTCATACCGTTAGAAGATATTACCGGTAATCCAGATGCCGTAAGCGATTACACCAATATGCCTTGGCCTGAGCCAAAGACTTCACCTAAGTCGACGGAAAATATCCTTCCTACTATTGGCAATTTGCCAACCGCCCAGGTAAATACATTACCGCCAAATAACCTGAATACATATCCAGGTTTTATGCCACAATATGCTGGTGTGGCAACGAACAATCTACTGGCAACGCAAATGCAAATGCCACGGCCAGTTCCCACACCGGCTGCGGCATCAGGCCCACATCCAGCTTGGCAAACAGGCAATTTCAATGGTAATTTGGCAATGGGTCCCTTGGCTGGTGGACCACCAGTACAACCACAGAATATGCTGGGTCCATTCGGTCCTGGAGCCGGCAATCCGCAATGGCAACTTCATGGCGGTAATCAGTATGGCCCAGCACAAGGTCCCTTCAATAATGCACCGAATTTCGGACCAATGGGTTTATTGCCGCCACGTGTTATGCCAAATATGGCGCCAGCGAATCTATTTGAACGGAATAATATGAATCATCACAACAATAACAACCAAAATCGCAACAACGGCGGCAATTGGCGGACCGGTTCCAACTTTCAAGATAACAATGGTGGCGGCAATTGGCGTTCAGGTGGTGGCGGCGGTGGACAGAACCGCGGTGGTGGCGGCGGCGGCGGCAACTCTAACAACGGTGTGTGTAAGGCTTTCATGCGTGGTCATTGTCGTTTAGGGAAATCGTGCAAATTTATACACCCAAAAAGCAAACGCATATAGGATTCGCCAGAATCTTCTGATGAAGATTCAACAACGATCTCGAAAAACAACTGTGATAGTGGCGACAAGTCGATGCACAAAAAAACTGTCTAAGCGATCAAAATAAAATGATCTGTGAAATGGTTCGAGAAAAAAAGTTTGCTGCGCGTCTTGAGACCACACCTTAAGTTCTTAAGAGGCCGCCACCGTACGTCGTTGGCCACCCGGAATGACTTCCCTGAACCCGCATTGCTTCAATCAACATCAGGAAATTCAGGCTGTCAACGTCGTAAACCACAATTTAGAATGAATTGAAAGAAAAAGAGAACATACATTTAATTTCTATGAAATATTTAGGTTTTTGTACAAAGCGTTAGTTTATAATTTTTCACTAAAAAATTTTGTTGTTAGTAAATGAAAGATAAATCGTGAAAAAAAACAAATCATAGATTTTCTACTACTAGCATTTTAGCATTATGCGTCCTGTAATAGCTTCATGAATACTTTTACAGATATAACAAAATATAAAGATGTTACAAAGGCATTTGCTTGCACTAAACATAATCGTTAATTACATATATAATGTAGATTATTATTTATACACTTATCTGCGCAGAACAATACATTTAAACACTGTACTTATTAATTTATAATTAATATTCAGCTTCTTACGCAGAGCGTCAAGGACGTATTCAACGAGGTTTATATACTCGTATATCATATATATTGCATATATATTTCATTCATTTAAATGTACAATATTATTGCATTATTAGATTAGATAACCAAATGTAGAATTTATTGCTGTTAGCGAAGCAAACAAGATACATAACTTTACACATGTATCACGGTAACTTATTAAAGGTAGCTTATTTAATTTTAGGACACGCATACATATGTATATATATATAACAAATCCATTATAACTTTGTAAAATATAAACTCAAATGAAAAGCATTTCAATACTTGTATAAATAAGAACATTTGTAAAACATGCAATAAAAAATTTAATTAAAATAATTTATGAAATAAAACCTAATTGTGTATAATTAAAGCAGGTACAAGATTTTGTTAGGAATCGATTAAAGTTTGAGTTTATTCCTAAAACTAGTTGAAACTATCACTCCTTATAAATAAGTGTAAAATTTTGGACAAAAATAAGCTTAAAGAAGAATAAGAGGAGCTACTAAATTTCAAGCAGAATTGCAAAGAAAATTTTTATCGATGTACCAGTATAAATAAACGTGCACTATATTTTATAAATGCATTTATGGCATGTATGTAGAAGTACTACATATTTTATAGTTCAACAATCTAATGAATAATGCTCCGAAAATGAGCCGAAAACGAAAACAAAAATTCGCTGAATGCACTGAATGCTAGCCCAGCCGAGGCTTGTAAGTTATAACAAATATATGGAAATTGGATTAAGATTTGGTATGCTTCAGGTGCCTATTTTGAAGGCGATAATACAGATTTTTAATAAATTTAGCGGAAATGTATTTTTTATTTGTGAGTCTGGGTCAAATTTGATATGTTATGACAACACTCACCACTTATCCTCAAGTACTTCTGCAAAAATTTATTTCCGTTTGCTCTTGTTTTCCATAAATATAACTCACTTACACTTTACATTAAAAACTTTTTATTTTATCACCGAATAAAACATTAACTTGGTAAAATTAATTCTTTCTTATTTTATATATTAAAGAAATAAAATGATTTTTCATATCACTACATTTTCGCTTTTTAATCGCCTTGCGCAAACACTTAAACACACATACATAATTACATACACATTTTGTATACACTATTAATTGCTATTTCCTCTATTGCGCCGGTCAGCTTCGCTTTATCGCTGTATTTGTTTGCCACTGGCACACATACAATTTTCACTTTCAAATAACTTTATAAAAAATATAGCCCGCGCCAACACTTTTACTCTATTTCATTGAAATATATATCTAGACTTGTGAAATCACCAAATTATTTAATTTAACACTTAATAAATTATGAATTTTACTATTTTCTCGGGCTAAGCGTGACCGGCGCATATTGTTGTTAGAAATGGAACGGAACTGAAAGAAGTAATTGGAAAGGAAGTAGGGTTGCAATTGCAGGTATTAAACTCAAATAGTTATTCGAATGCACGTATATCAATCACTATACTCTTTCAACATGTTATACAGATTGAATTCTATGTAAATCGTGTGAAATTGATCCAGATTTTATTCAAACTCTAATGTATTCAATAAAGTGTATGCAATATGCGGTATAGGTCGGTTAAGATGTTTGATATTTGAAAGAAAGTTCTTGATCGCGTTATGATTTACCGTCAAAGAAAAAGCAAACACCTTGATATGCCCTCACTTACGATATTTCAACTAGCATAATGGGATTCGATAGTAAAAACTACTTATATCTTTTCACTAATACGAGTATGTTGAAAATAGTGATCTTTACCAGTTAGATTGATTTGATGTGGATGCTAAATGAGTATATGACCCATAGCACAGGTTATCGGAGTAGTCTAATCTATGGCACTAAGCTTTGAAACTGCTCGCAAAATGGCGACTACTCAAAAACTTAAAATTTTTTAATTTTTTTTTCACTTTTCCATATTTTTTAAAATTAGTACAACTGGCCAATTTTTCTTATAACACTTTTATTCATGAAAAGATACATACAGAGAAAGCATGCCAATTTTCAAGTAAATTGTTTGATTAGAATTTGGGATAAATCGATTTTTTTTTTATATTTCTAAACTAGAATATCCCGTTAATAAGATATCAAATATGATTACACAAAAATTTGATTTGCAAAAATCGATCATCAATATATGACACAATTTATAAAACAACATCATTACACAAGTCTCCACTTTTATTAGCTAGTTATGTAATTTTGAACATATTTACATAATTATTTAATTTGTACAACTTCCATTTATTATTAATTGTACTATTAAATAATTTCACTCAACAACCCTGTACGAATGCAAACTTACTTCCTTGACCAACAGTACTTTCTATTTAGTTCCCGTTCCGTTACTCGCTGCGAACGAGTTAGCTACAAGCGTTCAGTCAGTGAACATTTTCAATTCGTGTGTAATTCTGCTATAAATTAAATATTTGTGTAATAAAATAAAACAAGTGTTTGTGGTTAGTCGCTATGTGCTAAAATTTTATATATAGTAGTGTTTTTATTGTTTTAATTTTCAAGCGAACATTGTATGTGCTGTTAGGGTGTGTGTGCCGGTAGCGAACAAGCTCAAGCGGCAGGCGCAGTAGTGGAAAGTCATTACATGTAAATGTGTGTGTGTGCATACCAGCTTTACAACAGTGAAATAGCGAACAAGCAAAGTAACGAGTGCGAAATCTAGCAGATGTTCTAGCCAATAAATCAACGAGTTATGAAGAAGTGATTACATGAAATATAGCATAGCATTTAATTATGTGAAATATGTATTGTATACACCAGCGAAGTTGGAGGCTTCTAACTATACTTACATATGTGTATGCATACGAGTATATGAGCGTATTATGTGAGCGGTAATAAATGTATACGGGTAAGTGTTTGGATATTTAAAGAAGCATTTAAAATATCTTTTTACATTAATTATTTATATGTATAACTAAATTTGTACTTTAATAAAAATATTATGATATTTCTGCTTAACCTCCAACAAAACAAAAAAGGTCGTTTTTTGTGAAAAAATTTAACAAATTTACAATCGAATTATAATCAAAAATTTGATCATTACCTGACAAATATGTACATATATCTAAGAAGGGCGTGCAAAATTACAATTACAGCCAAAAGGAAATCGGATCGGAGGGAAATTTTTCTCACCGAAACTAAAAACAGTGTTTCGAAAAAACGCGCTTAAAGTTTTGGGAAGCGAACACTAAGTTTAAAAATATAAATATAAAATCATATTTCCGAAATTATAAGACGGATCAACTTAAAATTTTTGGAGAATATTTTCAAATATATGTACATATGTACAATTGATAGACATATGTATGTATAAGCAAAATAAAATTCCATGTTTTGAAATTCACAAGTGGATATAATTCATTCATATCGAAAAATCAATATACATAATAAACTTATTCAACTAATTATACTAAGGATTTTAATGAAAATCCATTATGCCATTAGTGGAAAATAAAAGTATACGCACAGAAAAGTCGCGAGTTGTAATTAAAATATTTTATCTGTTTAATTATTGCTAAGACTATTTTAAACAACAGCAACAACAACAAAAGTAGCATATGAAACTCAAACTAGTACATTTTTATGCTAAATTAATACAAAAATAGCAATACCATAGAGGAAAATGAAAAATGAAAAATGGAAGAATGGAAAATCAATTTCGTCATCTATTAGGCAATGGTAGAAAATCAAAATATTTAGTAATAGGTACGCTTTGCAGTGAATATGTAAATCGATGTGTGTAAGAATCGACAATAGACACATTTGTATATATTTAGTGCACCATGTATATGTGGGTGGTGAAAATGTATGCTTTTGAACTTAACTTTCAATAGTTATAAGGTTTCTTGAAAAATTTTCAGTTATTTTCGCGCGTCCTCAATCGACAAACTACATTTACCGCGGTTAGTACGACGGTTGTGTTCATAGGAAACGTATAAAATTTTAGAGTAATTAAGATTTACTTAAAATTCCACAATGCAACTCTATAAACTTTTGCTCGGACTCACTTCTATACTAGCCATAGCTGAGGGTCTGAGCTTTACAGTAACTTCTAAAGTTTATTTAGATGTGAAGCATCAGAAGAAACCGCTGGGTCGCATAGTTTTAGGGCTGTTTGGTAAAATCGCACCAAAGGCAGTCGCTAATTTTCGACACATCTGCTTACGTGGCATCAATGGCACTACATATGCGGGTTCTAAATTTCATCGCGTAATTAATCGTTTTCTCATACAAGGTGGCGATATTTTAAATGGTGAGTCTTTGGTGGTTCGGAAAATAATTACTACTGGATAAGCGGTTGTGTTTAGTTAGGGAATTTAGTATAGTAAAAAAATTAGCGGTTATATGTCATATAGCGCTGTAATATATCTTTCTTAATCAAACTTGCGGCAATATATTAAATTTGCTCAAGTCGACTTAAGTCTTATTCCAGACCGCGTACCTAATGTACAACAATAAAAAAATACAAAATACCATTGAGCAGCAGAATATGCTAAAATGTTTTATTAGAAATCAAAATTATATCATGTCTTAAGACAATTGAGATGTTTCCGCATTTTGCCATAGGATAATACTTGTTTTACAGTTTTTTTTTCGGTTTTCGAACAAAAGAAGGTATATCTACAGAATTTTGTTATTTCTTGTTTTCTTCCAAAAGTATTTTATCCAACTTTCCGTTCGTTAGATCACCCATACTATTATTAAACGTATAGTTTATCGATTTTTTACCATCATATTCGAAATTTCAGCAGAAAATCCAGCGTCACTTTAATATCGTTCCTTCGCTGTGGTTGATTACGTTATTTTCTTTATGTCTTCGAGGAGCGTACTGGATGTTAAATAGATTCTTTTGTGTATTTTTGTTGATTTTTCGCTTTATCAAATTGTCGAAAGTGTGTAATGGGTATTTGTGATGTGACTGGGTACTGCGCTGTTCTTGTATACCACAACTAATTATTGTAATTACAGGCGATGGTACAGGTTCTACCAGCATTTATGGTGATTATTTTGAAGATGAGGCATTGACTGTTGCACACAATCGTCCTGGATATTTAGGCATGGCAAATCGTGGACCTGACACGAATGGTTGTCAATTTTATATAACTACTATATCGGCTTCGTGGCTTGATGGTAAACATACAGTGTTTGGTAAAGTGCTCGATGGTATCGATACGGTGCATGCAATTGAGGACGTGAGTTCAATTTAAGTAAAAGATTGTCTTAAATTTGTAATATGCGAATGTTTTAGGTTAAAACAGATACTGACGATTTTCCAATGGATCCAGTTATCATTACGAATTGTGGTGAAATACCCACGCAACCATTTGAGTTTTACCCCGATGATTTTAAGTGAGTAATATTACAGCAGTTTTATGAAAAAAAAAATATATAGAAAAGAATTTAAAAATCTAACACAAAAATTTTGAAAAAAAAAAATTTAGTAAAACTGAAAAAATTAATTAGTAAATATAAATTAGTATTAAAAATATAAAGAATATATATCTATATAAAATTCCCTAATAATATAAAAAACATTACAAATTTATGTCAAAATATACATACATTATTAAACATATTAAAGTTATCAATTTACGAAAAAAAAATGTATTTAAGTGGTAAAATATTTTGCTAAATTATTATATAATATATCTTGCAAATATCAATAAATATATTTTGTATATATTATTAAAAAAAAACTTATTTCCTTTATCTTCCACAGCATAATGAGTTGGGTCAAAGCCGCTGGACTGCCCGTAATGAGTAGTTTCATTGTCTTATTTATTTTCCATTACTTTTTCCGTCAATTAAATATGTACTGTTGACCGTTTAAAAATTTGTTGATTAAAAAATAATGTATATGTGCGTTTTAAACACTAATAGTGAAATATAAAATTATATATTTATAGCAATAATAAAATTTTACATGTGACTAAAATATAAAAAATAAAAATATTACAAAAAACTCGCATTCGTTTTGTTACGTCGAATCGCTTTATTTTCGAAATTGTTTCGAGATGATGCCACGTAGTAGTATGGGTAAAGTTGGCCCCAAGTGCAGCTAAAAAAATCGAAAAATTCAATCATTTAAATAGCGGTAATATTTTTTTGCTCTATTTTCCACTCACATCTATATATAGGTAATCTTCAAGAACTTGTCCGTCTTCATAAAACTTTACTTCCGGCTTGATCAGCACCACAATACGCGCTTCACCGCTGCAATAGTTCGTTTTGCTATTGCTAAATATTTTACATAAAGTAAAGTGATGCCTGTGATCTTCATACACCGATTTATTTAGACTATTATAATAGTTTTGTAATTCTTTGCGCTGCTTAGCGCCCACTTCCATGCGTGTATGATGCTCTGTCTTATCTAAGTCGAAGGAATGCGCATGTTTCACCTTCGGATCTGTTTCCAAATCAATGACACGTTCATACATATTTCGATAGCGTTTGCCAAACAAGCTGGGCGATTTCTTTTCAGCCGCATAAAATAAGTAATCATGATCCTCACTTTAAAAATAATATCAAATATAATTTGTTAGAAAATTTAGCAACTATAAAATCGTTCATACATACCTCTTTCTCACTTCGAAATCCACATATAATCCGGGTATTTTCACCTCGGTACGCACAGACGCAATCAATTTTCCTGGCCCATGGAAATGCAGATCGATCGTGAACTTTCTCAACTGTCCCAAAGCCAATACATTCATATTTAATACGAAACCCTGCTGATGAAATGGCAAGGGTTGCGTGGTGAAATGCTTCAAATTAATCGGCATTGATTCACCGTAGTTGCTAATCAATTTCAAATAATCCTGATGCACCTTACGCAACAGTGCCGCCGATTTGGGATTTTCACGTAATTGTCTTATGAACTTTTGTGTCTCAATTAGCTGTTCCAGCACGCTAGCATGTGGCAGCTCCGCATTATTATTAATAATTACATAGGTTTTCATCATTCGATAGAAACGTGCCTCCCGACTACTTGAAGTACTCTTGCTGCTTCCCGTGTGATAGCTACTAAGCGAGTATTTGGTAGTTAACATACTGACATTGTCTTCCTCTCTTGGCACTGGCATATCCTCATCGTATTCGGTGATAGATTTAAATACTTCGAAATGATAAATTATTTGCAGCAATTTATATTCTTCTAATATTTCTTCAATTTCCTGCTCGGGTCGTGATAATTTCGTTACAACTTCTATTATGGACATAATACCTTGCCCACGAAAGTGTATAGTCTGTTCTTCACTTTTATTAGCGTTTACTTGTATGTCGTGCGCGAATTGCTCGGAGAAACCCATTAAACCCTCGACTGTCAATAGTTTTGACTTGAATTTGCAAATGTCAAAAGTCTTCTCTCCGTTGATTTTTGCATAGCCTTGACTGAGTCGCTGACTTTTGTCAACCACTGTTTTATGATTAATACTCACTGTGATGGGATATTGTGTGACGTTTATTATTCTTACTGATGTTTTGAAAAGCTCGTACCATGGCTGAAAAAGTGTAAAATAGTGTTGAACTGCTATTCGTAGATAGTCTTTATTTTTCTAGTGAGTCTAAAAAAAGAGTGTGTCCAAAATTTCATAACGATACCTTAACAAGTAAGGAAGGGCCCTTTGTTTACATTATGGGGTCAATGACCCTTTTGTTTACATTTTGCCGAGGTCAATGACTCCTTTGTTTCCATTTTATGAGGTCAATGACCTTTTTATTTATATTTAGTCAAGTTCACAACCTTTGTTTACATTTAGCCAATACAGCAACCTTTGATTACATTTGGAAGTCAATGACCCTTTTGTTTACATTTTATGTGGTAAATGACCCTTTTGTAAATTGTTTAGATTGAACTATTATAGGATAAGTTGTCATACAAAATGACCGATCAAAAATGATGAAAATGTTTACCAAGTTTCATCACAATATTCTTACTCAAGTTAAGCTTGCGCGGACAGACGGACGAACGTACGGACGGCCGTACAGACCGTATCTAGGTATTCATTTAAAATATTACCTGAATACCAAGGTATACGTTTTCCGAGGAGAATTCCATAACTCTTTCCAAATTAATTAGTGTTATATCAAATTGCTGAGGGCAACTACCAACAGTGTCGAGTACAAATATCGCCGTCTTAGCATAACCTAAAAATTAATCAAAAACATATAACGTTAAAAAGTCTATGAGCATCTCATTCCAGGTATGAAACCACTTTACCCGGTTTTACTGGCGGCAAAAACAGTGCACACTGCACTGTATTAAATTTCGATATATGGCCCGTCTTCTCAATAAAATGTATGGTGCGATCACTATCACACTCTTCTATACTCTCTTGTGATATGTCATAGGAATCTTCCAACTTCAGACCATACAAAACTGCATCCAAAGTTTTGCGTACAAACTCACCAGAAGAGCAACGTCTCGCACTCAAACAAGGATCATATGGATCATCGACTTTTATCATATAACGTTTGTGTTCCAAATCCAAATTGTTTATGATTTCATTGATGATTTCGTCAATGCCAATCGGATCTTGAAGTTTATGCAGTCTACAACGATATTTCTGGTAACGCAATGTCATATTTCTTTGGTAAAGTGAGTCTTCATCTGAATCGCTGCCATCAATATCCAACATGCGTAGAATTTCGGAGAGTATGTCCAATGAGAATTTATAAGTATCATCATACTGAAAAGTGTTAAATTATTATTATGCAAGAACTAGTTTTAAAATTTCGTATATGTTTTTCTAACTTACATCCGAAACATATGCCGTTTTTTCTTCGACTTTCTTCCATTTGTACTGTGCATTCAAGCAGGAAATATTGCGCAATTCGACGTAGGTTAGGCTTGGGTTTTCTCGTGTAAATAGTATCATATCCGGTTGCATGATTCTCAACTCTGGGCTGCGGATTTTCAACTTTAACGGCAGCGATCTCTAGAGGGAGGAAAATTTCCTCATTTAATTCAAATGATCCTACAAATTTTCGATATTAGTTATTACCTGATATTTATTATTTGCTTCGCAGAGAATACGCCCATCAACGGTGGAACAAAATTCATCTCGTATTGCAGATTTATTCAGAGAAATTATAATTTCTTTTTGCTCCAAACCAGTCATGGGGAAATTTATGATCTTGGCAAAATTATGCTCAAATAAATGTTTTATTTTGAAGGGTCCCACAATTTTCAGCCAAACTTTACACTTCACATCTACCATGTTTTTCAAACATGCTATAGCTTTTATCACGAAAAATACAATATATATTAATAACAAATTATGGGATCTTAGACTTTTCAAAGATAGCAGTAGATATTAATTATAGAATTCTAGTTTTGATTTAAGACCTGTACATTCACTAGCAAGTAGTTCACACTAAAATAAGATCATAGTTGTTTTCTTACCGAGCACCGGATGTTCTTTATAAAAATGCGTTCTATTGTACTCCATGTTTATCAGTTTCTGGCACCAATGTATTTCCGGTTCCACAAATGTGGCCGTTGCTGTAAACCGTGTTGTGTGCACTTTTAATTTGTGCTCCTGATCAATAGTTCTCACACGAAATTCATTAAAAATTACACCAGCTTCGCACGAATCTGCCGTTATATATAGTGTACCCTCCGATTGTGGTTCAAGACAGAGCGTCTTCGGCGATACCGTTAGATGACCATGACCAAGTTCAATAGCACATTTTGTGACATTATTACGCAGCTTATCTATATACAAGCAGTACTTGTGCTTGCCTTTATTCGTCAACTTCACCTCCTGTACGTACTTTGGTACATCAGATTCGTACTTATCAAGACAATTAATCATAAGTGTACCACAATCGTGACCTTTGAAAATGTTAGGTGCTACACCTATGGGTGAGCCTTCCACAATGTAGATGAGTGGTATTTCCTGCATAATTGTCATAAATTTAGAAGGGATTGTAAAATTATACAAATTACATGCCATGTCACTTACTATAGTACTACTGTTAGCAACACTTATTACTAAGGTATTGTAATAGGTTTCGGCATCGTAGAATTTTGAAAAAATTGATATATAAGTACTCTGTCCCTCAGGAGAGAGTATGGCTCCTCTGGGCTCAACATGTTGATATTTCGTATTTTTCTATAAATATAGATCACAAAAAATATGTACATACAAGTATATATAATAATCAGTAAAAACAAGAAAGTTAGGCTTAATTCGGACTTGTAATAAAAAAGCCCTCGATTGTGTGTGTACTCAGTTAAGTGGGTTGACTGCAAGTATTGACTCTCACAGATTTCTGTTTTGTGTTTTTCAAGCGTGATCTCAAACCTAACTCAACAATCTGTTGAGATCAAAGACTAAAATCTCTAAAGAAAGAACAGCTCGAAGCTTTTTGCTTACCAATTTCACTGTGAACCTAGTCACCGTTGGCGTTTCATTTGTTATATAAATATGTTCTGCGGTTGTTTCGAGCACTTTTTGTCGTCTGTAAACACGTGTCGTAGACACTTTAACTTTCACTGGTTTGACATCTGCGATTATATGAAATGGCGATCCATTTAAATTTCCGACGATTTTAATGCTGAAAAAAAGTGTATTTTTTATATGTTACTCAACGATTGCATGTTGTTGCTTACAGTCCAGAGAGTTTGATTTTGCCTAAACGACGAAATATTACAGTACAGTGTACAACCACCTTTCCAAAGGCGGGTATGAAGAATTTCAAAATATTTTCCGGAAATATCATTTCGCCATTTTCATCCGAAGGCTGAAAAGACACACAAAAAGATATATACATTTGTAGAAAATTAGTACGAAAATGTAATTACTATAACATCGTAGTAGAAAAATCCAGGAACGTTGAATGAATTCTTAAAGAACATAGCGCATTGCACCTCATCATCAATATAAGTCTCTTCGGACTCATAGTTAATCTCTTGTGTAAAATTAATAATGGGCAAATGGCAGGCATATTCCATCCAAATTTTAGTTGTAAGCATTTTGGAACATACAAAAGATCTGTCTCGTAAATCCCAAGAAAAGTCTGTATTTTTCATATTCAGTTCCTCTTCGGTTATTGGACAAACACGCACGTTGAGCGCACGATTGAATAAGCCGACTCTGTTCGGTATGAGCAGCACGGTTACCGTTTTACCCGCATTCGGTTGCAGATAAATAATTTCCTTGTCACAATAAATCTCTTTCGGATTAAATGGTATAATATTCCAATCCATTTGTGCATAATTTGCAAATTGTTTGAGCGAATTGAAGTAATTGGTCTTAAGTAGCACATCTAAAGTCGCACTGACAACACACTCTTCGACCTCTTTCTGCTCTAAATGACGTGCTTCGCCTAATTTCCTTATAATGGTAAATGCGAAATCTGGTATTTTCTCTAGAGGAAGGGAGTAAATGATATAAAACTTTGTTTAGAGTATAATGAAATGAAGTTGCCCTGCTCACCTAAAATCTCTTCCTCAAAATATGAGCTGCATGTGGACTCTTCCGTGCTAACGGAGCGATACGAAAGTAATGAATCCGATCTACTTATTAATTGTACCGTTGGTTCTTCAACTGCATACGGATCTAATTCCTCTTCCGCCATCGCAATCATTGCGGATATATAATCCTTAACCGTTATAACTGGCAAACCATCAGCGTCGTTTACATTAAGTACCAATGGTATCTCGTCACCATCTTCGCCAACGGTAAATTGCACCGCAATCGGTATCATAAATGGATTCACTATTAATATAAAACGTTTGCATGGTATACCAAATGGCACACAACCAATATCTAATTCATCTGGAAACATTTTAACGCGTGCATGTTGCGAGTTACCTCTATTTTGGAGGGGGAGAGAGAGAGAGAATATTTTCGTGTTAATTCTCAAGTTTAAAATTATTGTATAAAAAGTTATATGATGAAAAAACCTATATTTAAATTTCAAAGTTTTCAGATCTCAAGACTAAAGATATATAATATATGTTATATTACTCTCATTCAAATGCTTTACAAGAAAACTACAACAGTTGCACACACACACCTTATGTTCACTTCTTCCATATCACCATTTCTGACCTTAAAACGTAGTTTTGCCACAAAAGCTCCAATCACTTTTGAGAAAAATGAGATTCGAAAAATTCCACTTTTACAAGGTTCCAAATCGTAACCCTCTTGCGGTTGTACAACAGCACCGGCAGTTTCAAAATTATAAACGTCTTTGAACTTTACACAGGCATTTACTTTACCTATTGAAAATGATTAAGATAATAACTGTAAAAGAGAAGAATAGGAGCATACTAACCATCTATATTTAAAACCTTAATAACCGTGCAGTGTTCTTCGCCCATGTAAATAGTTCGTAAGTATATATCTTTTGGCGTGATTTCGACCTCTGGTCCAATAATAGCACCTTGAAAATGTATTAATTGTCGGACTATTGACATTTCTTCGCCTATAGTTAAAAATAATATCGTCCGCACTTTGTGCGGTGATGGTTCTTCTTCCCTAAAATCACACTCCTTAAGCGTAACCGGATGAAAACATACAGGGATCTCCATAGAACTTTTACCTTCAATCGTAAAGTTCTGTCAATAAAAATTTTTGAATTAGACCAATTAGTTTATTTCACGGTTTAGGTGATTTAAATGAAATTTTGAGCATATATAAGGATAATAAGAGATCAGGAAGTACACAGAAGAAATCTATTACTGTTTGAAATAAAATATGCAGATAAAATATCAGATATTTTTGTTAGTTGTGCTGGGATCGGTATATTTCTAAAAATTCTATACTTATAGAAATCATGAAAAAAGTTTGACTTTTGCTGCACAGAAGCTTTAATATCCTTACCAAGTGCATTTCTTATAGCAACTATGTGTATAACCCAATCTGAAATCGCTATTTGATATAGACAATATTCAAGTTAAATTAAGGTTATTTAATAAGAAATAAACAGCTTTTAAATTTGATGCTATTATAGTGGTCCGACCTAACCAATTTGTTCAGAGATTCTAGCATTGCTTTGAGCAATAATTTGTACCAAATTTCGTGAAGATAATTTGTGAAATAAAAAAGTTTTGATTTTGCTCGATCAGTTTGTATGGCAGCTATTTGCTATAGTGGTCCAATATAGGCGGTTCCAAAAAAAGAGCAGCTTTTTGGGGAGCAATGAACGTATTCAAGCATCGATAAATTTATCAAAAACTGTGGGACTAGTTGGCGTATATACAGACAGAGAGACGGACATGGCTAAATTGAGGGTTTTACAAACTTCATGGCAAACTTAATAATCCTAATACACACCTCATTGCTGATACGAAAGTGTTTGTAAGCCATCAAATCGCATGGGTGGGATAATGGCGTATGAATCATATTGAAGGAACTGGAACTACGTATGGAGTACGATTGTGATTGTCTTGCATCCATTTTATAGTCAAAGTTTTCTTCTAACTGTTCGGGATCGGTAAAGAAGGTGGTTGTAAAATTTTTATCCTCATTCGATTCATTACAAACAGTAAAACTGCGTGTTGTTTCGCGTTCATATTTCAACGATTCGAAGATTAGGAGATTTGTATTAATGTAAAAGGAGTTTATTAATGGAGTATGCATAATTTGAATCTCTAAATTAACTGTAATTAAAATATATACAATATTTTTTTTAAATAAATAAATCATAATATTATAAGATTTTAACTTACGGATTTCTATTTTAGTTTTGATTATATCTTGCATTATATTAAGATTATTCACTTTGAGAACTAACAACACCTTTATGCTTTCGTGGGGTGGTATGCGATTTTTGCTTTGGGTGACCTTGATATTCTTAGGATAGCTAATTAGATAAGATTATATTAAAATTAGTAAATATTTTTCAAATATTTTTAAGTAATTTTTACGTTCTAAAAAAAAGTGATTGGACATCCTTGGTTGGATTGTAGGCAACAAATTCGTAGTAAGCAGTATCATCAAGTGTTGTGGAGGGAAAGTCAATTGATTTTGGCAGATAGCATTCATTCATTGATTTTGATACTAGTAATAATATTTTATAAAAAATGTTTTAGCTTACAACCACATACTTTAAAAATAAAAATATTACAATATCAAATAAGTTTGATGCAATGATTAAGGTTAACAAAAATAATATTGCAAGCTTACCAATTGGAATTTCAAAAGTTATATTTGGATGAGCAGATTCAATATAAATATGCCTGCATTTGGTTTGCGCACTATGTGCATTTGGTTTAATTACAACTTTTATTTCAAATATTTCGTCCGGCTGCAAGTAGGTATGTTCCCAAAATCGGGGAAATATGATATTTGTATCCTGCATGCTGTCCGTATAATATGTTAAATTTCGGGGATACTGATAAGATAGTTCGGTAAAAGTTAAAAGGAAATAAATCATTATTATATGCCAAAATTCTCACCAGTCCTTTATTTTTTATGGTAATAGTCTGTGTAAATGGCTCATATTTCTTAAATTTTTTGCAAATAATCATGCGCGGAACTATAATCAATGTATCCACCAAATTCCGCATATATGAAAAATCTGCGTTAAAATTTTACTCCAGTGTAAATATTACAGTTCAAATTAATGCTAATTATTACTTACGTTGTTTGGCGGAGCAGCAATAATGCTGTTTCGCCATCTTTGCGTATTTTTTATGATTTTTTCTTTTACAAATAAAATAACGACTTTTCGAGCACACAAATTCAAACTGTTTTTTCCGTTCAATTTATGTTGTCTATTCACAAACAATTACGAGCAATTACGCAGTGTTCTATCGTGAATTATCACAATATGCGCACAGCTGTCTCAGCTGTTTTGATTTGTTAGCGGTGTGCTGCGCGTGTGAAAATATTTCCTATTTTTCTGTTATTGAAGTGAAATATTTTATAGTTTTCACAAAAAAAATAGTGCGCTTACAATTGGCGTTGCGTGACAACTTGCGAAAAATAAAAGTTTACATATACATAGAAAGTAACTATGGCACAGCTACTCAGAAAAGGTAAGTACTTTGTGGTTATACAACCAGATTGCCAATTGCTAATTGAATTACATTTAACAGTAATGCTGCTATCCTGTCGTGCGCCTATCACACAATCGCAACGCTTCCGTGGTAAAATCAATATACAACGTCCACGTGCGCCCCACTATGAACGTGCCAAGGTGCTAGCTGCCGCCCAATATTCGCCGGCTAAAGTCGAAGATTCCAAAAAGAATACAACATGTTTTCAACGTCGACAACGGGAGGCAGATATAGAGAATCCTTATATTGCGGTAATTGCACGCGAAGTACGTAATTGGTTTGAACATTCACGTATGATTGGGTTCTATCACCTGAATTCAATCAATGCTGATGAGCTCTTCACCATACGCGCACAACTGCACAAACAAAATATGCATTTAAAAGCTTATGGTAAAAAAATTGTACAAAAAGCTGTTGAAGACACACGTTTTGAAGCAATTTTACCATTATTCGAAAGCAATAATTGTGTTGTTTTCTCAACCCAACAGCAGGTGTCACAACTTTTGCGTATTACACGTCGTGTGCCACAAATGTTATTAATGGCTGGTATCGTTGACGAGCGTTTACTAAGTCGTAATGAGTTTATGGCATATGCACAATTACCCGGTCTGCAGGCAGCGCAAGGAGAATTAGCACAAACACTTAATATGGCAGCGGGTAATGTTGTTCAGCAATTGGAAACTCATCAAAAGAATTTTGTTAATGTGCTCGATGTATACGCAAAGGGTGAAACGAATGAAAATACGCCTGCCAAGCAGGCGAAAGAAGAAGACAAGGCGTGAAGTGAATTAATATACACTAGTGCCTAAATATTATATTTAATTAAAACAAATTTTAATATACCATAATTAAAAACCAAAGTTGTACTTTAAAAAAGAAATTATTAACAAAGTGTTTATGTGTGAAAGTGTGTGTATGAGTGCTATAAATACGAGAATAACTAGATAATATTTGAATGGAGCTACTAAGAATATATACTTTGCTGCACTGGCGAATATATGATTAGGTAGGATTTTAATTTCATTTCATTTTATATCATTGAAATTTATCGTTTTTTAGTTTAATTTATTTCATTTTACAATAAAAAATTACTTTTATAATTTTTAGTCCATTTCATAATTAACCATTACTCTTGCTGTTTATAACCGTATTCCGCTTTTACCACATTTTATTATATTCAACATACCTACCATTACTTTATCATTTTTAATTTAATTCTACTGAAAAATATCATTTATTAAAATTTTTATTTGTTCATTCGCACATTTCACTCATTTCTTTGTCTTTTTAACTCATTATCAATGATGTCAGGAATATTCGCTTAGACTTTGGCACCCATTATTTACACTGGAATGCTGTAAATGTTCATGTTTATTAATTTGTATGCAACAATTGCTAGGAACTAATTGCATTGACAGTCGGCAGACATACACCGTTATGATTACAATCCCTTATTCGTTGCCGGCAATTAAATGCCATATTTGCCAATGCTTCTGCGGCGTCTAATTCTAATTGTGTAGGGCAGGTAGTTAAGGATTGGCGTCGCGTGTCACCGCTGGAGTTGGCTGGTACAATGGTGATGCGTCGTAGTTGTTTTATGCGTTGCTTTTTTTCCATTTTGCCGCTATAAATTAGAAAATATATGAACTATATGCATAGCATTCAACTTTATTGCTAGCACTTTGTATAACTCACGTTTTGCCATTCCACTCGATAAAGTAGTTGTTTTTGTCAGGCGTAAAGCGTGCAGCACTCTCCAACCATTTGGACAAAGCTGCATGATCACCATGACGAACGCCATCGCTGTCATCTCCACTGTGAATAGCCGCTTCGACATCGAACTGTTTGTTGTTAAAACCATCATTGACAGTGTGTGCCGTACATTGTGATGCCATTGCATTTGAATGTGTGCCATGCGTATCGCGCAGATACTTTTCCATCATTTTCTGTTTGTACTTTGCTGTGTGTGTGATTGGATTTGACTTTTGAATAATTTGTGGTTGTTGTTCTTGTGTTGTTACTGTGCCACCATAAAATACGGAGCTATCTACTGATTTATTCGAGCTCTCGTTAACCGCCGTTTTCACATTTCGATTACCGTATGTATGATTTTTCATAAAGCAACTCATTTTGGACTTTCTCTGCACAAAACTATCGTAGCTACAAGCGCCTGTTGAGCTGGTTGCACCTTCGGTGCCACTGGAAATGCCACCTTCACGTGATTCATACTCGTCGTCATCGCTGTGCTTATCCACGTCATCATCGCGCTCCAATTCATCTTCTTCCCAAATGCTATCTTCCGAAGATATGCTAAATTGCTCCACATTTCCACGTGCGTTTGTATTGTAATGCTTAATAAGATGACCCCAAGATCTTTTATTGCGCTCCAGCTCTGAGTTCTTCAATTTTCGTCGCCAATTAGCAAACCAATTGCAAATTTGTGTGTATGTAAGTCCTGTCTGAATAGCTAAGCGCTTCTTTTCGTCACGACTTGGATAGGGGTTTTCGCGCCGGCGCACAAGCCAATCTTTAAGCATGCGCTTAATCTCGGGCGTAAAAAGTCGCTTAACAAGACGCGGTTGATGTAGATCATCTTCTGGTGGCCAGGCGCGTCTAAAAAGAAGATGAAATTGTTACAGTTGTCGAAAATTGCATATAAAAATTTAATAATAAAAAATATTGTACGCAAAAGTTCTAAGCGCCTTAAAGTATACAACACATGCTTGAAAACTTACGGTTTTAATACACCTGCTAACTTGCGCTAATTCACAGCAGGCAGCCAAAACACGCTTAAAAACAACAAACACGTTTAAACGCCTTTAGGTATGCAGTAAAATATACAAAAAAAATGCAATAACGCTTTTATGTGTTAGTTAACGGCATAGCTATAAGACGTAAAAAACAAATGTTAACAATTGACATAAAATTCAGTTCATTTAGTAAGCGTCCAAACAAATTAGCTAGCAGCCCTGTTATGTGTACTCACACACAGACGCACCTGCTATGTCGTCGATTGCGTTGCGGACGGCCCGTCATATATTTCTCCATTTCGAAAATGAATGCAACTGACGATTTACTATTTTTAGAGTGTAGAAAGAGAATAAAAGCTTTTATTTATAGTATATAGCATAATTATATATATATACATATATTGTACTTGTATATAAATATTATATATATATCGGTGTTTTTCAATATTTATGCTGTTGTTGTTTGTATTTGCGATTTTTCGTGCAGAGTTGTACAATAAAATCTTGAAATGTCACAAATATTTTCAAGATTTTTCATATGCAGTATTAATAAAGCACATTTTACACATATACATATAATTGCTTGTATTTGGTGTATCATATGTTCTATTTAGGTAAAATGGCAGCGAAAAAAATGCTTAACATATGACTTGGCGTTACTATTTCTTGAGTGATTGAACCCTGTTTGTTTAGATTTGAAGAAAATAAATTAAATTTTTATTGAAAGCTATTAAAGCAATTAGACGTAACAAATTTTACGAAATTTTAAGTTTTTCAATTTCAAAAAATTTTGACATATTTGACATTTAAAAATTTTTTTTCGATCTGCGAATACCTTTTTTATTCACTGTTTTCGATTTCTGCTACTTTAATAATCATAAAATGTGTGAATAAGTGCACTAATACACATATACATATGTACGTATGTATTATGTGTACGTATGTACATATGTATGCACGTACCTAGTTATTTATATAGAAAATATTCACTTTCAAAAGATTGCGTGGGTGCTTAGGCATTCAGACAGCTCTCATATTTAATCTTTTTGTTGTCACACAAAAAATGATTTTTCATGTTTTTCACACAATGACGAATGTGTTAAGTAAATATCGCAAGGAAGAAAGAAAAAATCTCAAAAAAAAAATCAGTGCTAAGCGCTTTTACTCTCTGCGCGGCTACTGGCAGTATTTTGTGTTTTTTGAAAAGCTGAAAACCACCTTTTGATTTTCATAGTATCTCACAGTTAGTAAATTTACTCGCGGAGAAAAATCGCACAATTGTAGATCTCTATTCACTTTTATATGCAAATATGTACGCGTGTATGTGTGTACAGCTACTCAGACCTTGGATATTAGGTTCATGTGTATATAAGATACATACATATGCACAATAAATATTTATAGTAAATGCACGTATTTGTCCATAAGCATACTTAAGTTTAGTTTTCACGCAAAAACAAATTGTGATTTTTTTTAAATTTAATTTTTTTTTAATTTTTTAAATTATTTTGTCATGTTTTTTATTGAATTTTTTTTCTATTTTTAAATATTTTATTTGGTTTATTTTTTTTAAATTTTATTTTAAATTTCAAATATTTGTCTCTTAATTTAAGCTATATACATAATTATATTTTATGTACTGTATGCTGTCTCAACTAATATATTTCACGCACTTAAATAACAGTTTATTGTGTTCAGAATTCTATTTTACCATTTTTTGCTGTGCAAAATATATTGTACAAATATAAATAATAGCGCAAGCACTGACGAGTATATAACAAAAATATTTTCGATGATTAACTTCCTCATTGGCACCAAAAATTAAATAAAACTGTTGACTTTATATAGTGTGGTGAAGAAAACAGCCTTCATGTTTTCATGTTTTTTAATACATATATACATACGTCTACGTAAAAATTGTGTAAATTATATAATATATTTTTGTTGACAGCAGTGCTCTGTATTTTTTAATATATATTTACACATATTTGCATATATATATGTACATATTCCATACAAAGTATTCCACCACCTCATTCACAACTTGTAACTTCAAAACCATTACATAATTTCCAAAAATTTAATATAAAATGTTTAAAAACATAATTTTTTAACCTTGCTATGTATTTTAAAAACCATTTTCATATGCTTTTATTTTTTATTAAATTCACATAAGCATTTGTATTCAAATATTTAGCATGAAATCAAATTCTCTTTCATTTTTTATTGACAATTTTCTATTTTAAAAAACACCCACCTTATTTTAAGAATGTTTGTACGGTATTTATTTATTTATTTTTACCAGCGTTTCGCTTGAACAACAGACGCAGACTATTCGCTATTGATTTGCCACGACACTCACTGACCATTGGGGAAAAGTTGTTGCTTGTCGTCCTCTTATTTTCCTGACTTTGATTTGGATTTTCGTTCCTTTTGGTAGCAGAGACATTTAATTTGTACAATTAATAGATATGAGAGATGAGCGGTAGATATTTTTTTAGTTGTGGTTTGGACTCTGCGAGCGTAGATCTTTAGACGCCGTAAATTTGTTTTTTTTTTTTTTACTTATGCATCCTACAGGCGGCTTTATTTGTTTAAGTTTTTAAATGAGTAAATGATCTTTGTCGAAATAATTTGGGGAAGTGCTGTCAAATAGAACCGACTTTCATGGGTGCAATCGTGCAATAGACCATATTTTAGAACAGCCCATTCTGCTTATTCAATGTTGATGATATAGAAAGTGCACGCCTAGTCTGACAGCCTAAAAAAGCCGATTTTTGGGAATTACAAAAAAAAACTACTTTATCTTGCATTTCAAGAATACACAGTAAAATTAGTGACTTAATTAGTGATTAGACGGTGCTAAAAAAATACCTTTAACTGCTGCAGTGATTGCGGGCTTCTCCGTGGTTGAAACTTTAACATTTTTGTACTAGAAGATATTCTTCGACCAATGACATATAGTGGAAAAAAATCAAAAATTTAAAAAATGGCGGCATTTCGAAAAACTACAAAAGTTGAATGTTGGTTGTTTTCCACCTGCTAAAATTGGTAGGTCATTGTATGGTAAGTCATACTATATACAGAGCAAAAAAGATCTCAGACACATTAAATAAGTGTAGTTTTGAGAAAAACGCATTTAAAGATAAACTGATGTATGATGAACTGAGCGACTACACTTTAGAAAGCTCTAACCTCAAAACTATTTAAGATATTCATGTAAATTTGTAGTAGGTTATTTTTAAAAGTATAGCCTATTGAAATATGATTTTTTTTTTTTATTTCACACTAGTTGTGCGTCTTAAATAAAATATACAACTTTTTCGAAACACTTTTTTAAATTCATTTTTTATAAGCTTTTATGAAATTTAAATATTTTTTTTGTTTGAAAATTCATTTGCTGAAAATTTTTGACTTTCCTAGTGCTTAAAAACTTAAAATTTTGAGCCAAAGTTCTTATATCGTCAACAGTTCCAGACTAGTAGTATTTATGTACATACATAAACTTTTCTAGAATTTATTTAAAATCCATGGATTTTTTTCTTGAAATGTATGTATATTATCCTATGCTTATCCTAGCATACCTCCCAACTAATTGGTTAAGCACTTTCTCATTCTCTCTCTCGCGCTGTTTTGTTTTGACAGTTATTGTATTTATTTACACTATAATTAAATAGATATTGAAGGCATTTATTCTGACTGAGCAATAAAAATAACCTTAGCACTGATTAAAAATAGAGCGGTATCTCACTTGAATATTTTTGTTGTACTTACGTTGTCAAACGTAACATACCGTATAAATGTGTGTGTTTACAACAGTGCTTAACATAACTATGTATATGTATGTATTATTCTTCTAGACATATTAGCTAAAAACTTAATTTTTGCTGTTGAATTCTGGATCTTTCTGGTTCGTGCTGAAACGTAGGCAGTCTAGAGAGCTCATTGTGCTTAGGAAAAAATTCTGTCACTGTAATAGCAAATCTAAAGGGTAAGGGTCGCGTTGCCTTATTGTTATCCGAACTTAGTCCCATCTCAATTGTTGAAGCTGTCTGTAAGATGGAAATTAGGTATATTCTTAATATTTATTTCTTTAATGTCCTGCTTCTGCTAGACTAAGTTTGAAGCACATTTTATCTCATTTCTATAACTATCGAATTGCCTTACTTAGTATTGAAATGAATCCCTTGAAAAAATTTGCCATGAAGTCCTTTCAAGAATGTTAGCATCACAAAAAAACCTAGTTATAACTGTGCAGTTGTTACCCATTCTAAGGCTATTACCTATGTGCAACAGTCTGCCTATTTTTGTCTCGCACTGTACTCTATATATGTACATCATTTATTTTTAACCATGCGCACATAACGTACACAAATTCACACTTAATTTGCTTAAGCTACTATTTAGTCTCTCCAATTTTCATTCATTAAATTTATTTAGTTCTACGTTGACCATTTATTTGATTTCCGAACCAATTAATTTTTAACTAAGTACACGAGTATTTTACATTAATGAAAACATGATTTTGCTCACATATAGAATATCGTTTACATGTTATTTAGGTATGTTAAGTTGATTTTTATACCAAAAATGTAAACGCAATGGATTCTGCGCAGTAGCGTGAAAAAGTCATGTTTTCTCTCAGTAATTGTATTTGTTGTTTTACACGTATTTTCCTCTTCAAGCATAAACATTATTAATAGTCGTGAGAAATTGTTTGATGGTAAATCAAGAAGTAGTTTTGCAAAAAAAAAGTTTTTTGAAAAATCATTTTGATTCGCTTGATCCCGTAACCGATCTCTAAGAGGATCACCGAAAAGAGGTGCCAGACACGTGAAGAATACATACAATAATGATCGAATTATTTGACAAAATGGCTCGTGCCATTTCGTTCGTTTTTGTAAAAAAAAAAAAAAGTACAGTTCAGGGTGACTTAAAATAAGAATTTATTATCAAAATTGTTATTTTTTCGACCATTACCTGAAAAATATATCTAAAACGAGCGTGTGAAAATTTTAAACCGATCGGTACAGCCGTTTTGGAGAAATTTTCCTCATCGACTCTGAAAACAGCGTTCAAGAGAAGCGTGTAGTAAAATTTTGAGCACATTAACTAACAAGTCTTACAAATACGCTCATATATCCGAAACTATTTGTCGGATCATCTTAAAATTTTTGCATATTATTTTTATTTATATGTACTTTCGATATATGTCTATGCAAAAAATGATAAATTTTTTGAAATTCACAAGTGGTTAAAATCTCTTAAGGCAGTGTAGTGGTCAGTACAATCGGTAGGCCCAAATACCATCAAAAACCTGTAGGGAGATATAAAAGTACAACCGCCCTCATATTTTGGAACAAGGTAAGTGCTTAAAGTTTCTTTTACCCTCTGCAACGTAGTCATCAAAAGTTTTGCTAATGCTGCTGTATTTTACAAGATTCAATTTGATTATTCAACTTAATTGTCATTGGTGGCGATCCAATGCTTATATTAACAGTCCAATCATTCGTCAATACCACTTTTGTAACACGATTGGTATTCTGATTCAAAATAGGCCTCGATTTCGGCGCGGTTACCTCTTCATTGTCAGTTAATTCAATTCCAGTGATTATTCGTTTAAGGTTTGACAGCATTTAAAAGTGGCAATGGTGTAGATCCGTAGAATAGAGTCGATATGAAAGCAGTCGACAGGTCGACTAATGCAATTTCGCCATCGTTTTCATTAATATGCGTGCATCGGTGCATCAATCGATTATGAGCTCACGCTGAACCCATTTTGCAAAATTTACATGTATTTCCATTGTATGTTCTTCCCTTAACTTCTGTAGGGTGACAAATATTTAATCATTATCATTTTACTACTAATAACGAATATTATTTATAATTCAGGAAGCTTCAGGTGCCATTTTCATTAATTTTTCTCGATATTTACAATCAATCTAGTTTTACAATTTTTTTTCTAAGCTAAAGTCAGCATCATACTTTAAAGTAGGAAGAAAGCGCTAGATTACCGAGCTGAAACCCAGAAACCCAAACGTTTTTCCTCGCATTATTTGAAATCATTCAAAAAATTAACAGACTGACTCAGCGAACAGAATGCGCAAATAAATTCGCAACACTACGCCAGTGCTACCAACTTTCGGGAAACATTTTTCATTATAAATTCCGGATACTTTTTACAGAATCCACTTCATCCATAACAGGTACACAGGAAAGCAAGAACAGCAACAGCTAGCTGTCGTATAACACTCAACTTGGCAGTTTACTGATGCCAATTTGTGGAAATATACGAGCGAGCATTTAACACAGCGTCACACAAATACACATCTGCACAGGTATATGTGTCGGTATCGTTTTCACCACTTGACATTGTGTTGAGCACTGTGAAGATACAAGAAATAGGTAGCAAATACAGCTGACAACAAACAACTTAAATGGAGTGACTCTCGTTTCGCCGCCGACAAAACACTCAGGCCACCTACTTATTTATAACACATACCAATCAACCGAGCGACCCGGTAAACGGCCACCAGGACGTAATCGACATAATCAGCGGATCAACCAACCAACCACCAAACGCGTTGATGATATTCGTCGCTCGCTCGCTCGATGCCAACCAACAAACTCGAACGCGTTTGCAGCACTTGCAATGTTGCCGAGTTTTTACGTACTAGGCGCTCAACAAAAATCGTAGGTAATTGTTGCGAGAAAATTGGCAACTTTCCGTTGCAGCTGTTAAAATATACTCGACGAACAGCCGACGTATAAAACGAAATTTGAACGAATGTGTGAGGTGGTTGTGTTGTGTGCTTGTGTGCGGGAATGAGTGTTGCCGCTTGACTTGAAAATTTGATGAGATGGAATATTTTGCGTCGCTGGAGATATTTAATACTTGAATAAGCTTGAAAGTGGTGTGGTAGAAAAAGGAAACTTTCATTGAGGGTAATAAATATTTTCATGTGGTAGGCGGAAACCAAGGACCCTACTATGCCCTTTGTCAGTTATTCACTTAGAGATTTAATTTTTCCTTTGATTTATTTAAATTTGATTCATACCTTTGAGGGTTTGCTCGAAACTTGAGAGCTTTCTCATTGTTGCCGTTAAAAACTAAATTTTTTGTAGACCTTTGAAGTTGCCATATGTATGTATGTATGTATAAATTATATGCAAGCCTTTCATGTCAACATTTGTAGGACTCTAAAGTCCTAATAAAGTAAATTATTTGATAATTTTCAACTTGAATCTAAAACAATGATAGCCACTTTTCAAGTGAAAATTAAGTGAAGAACTTAGAAAAAAGTAGTCAAAAAATGCGTACGTCAAACAATACAAAATTTAGAGTTTATTTTATACTATTTTTGTTTATAATTATTTACTTGATACTCATTCTTCAATCCACCTAGAATAGAGTGCCACTTCATGTTACCTTCAATTGAACATTAAAATTACATATGAAAGTATGTAGATACATTGTATGTTTGTACATTTGCGCCGAGTGCGTCTCGAATTGGCAAAAGTGAAAACCTTCACCGGCTTAAGGTGCGCTCGCTACAAACAATATCCATTAGTGCGACAACGTAATGAGTACGCGTCTTCAGTCGCTTGTGGGGTCACTTACCTTTCTACCTACTTTTACAATTTTCGAGAGTTCAATAACCGATGAAACTACCAAAAATCACTGGCGTACATTGAACTCCTCACCACCACAACGCCAACGCTCACACGCATAGCATATTGAACGGCGCGCGATGTACACACGCGCAGCGCGCAAAACAAAAGTGAAACAAATTTCTGACCGTCTTACTAGGCGTAAAGAAATGCAGCGACAGCGTTTACCCACTAAATGTGTGCTCAACATTTGGCCAGCGCGCCTTCAATACTCGTAGTTGATTGAGTTCGCTATGTGGCGCGTATATTTAGAGTGCCGATTGGTGTGAGCGAACGCGGGCAAGCGCTACCATTCGGCATATGTTTAACAAACAAGTCGTGTGAGTGAGATGGTTCTACTGTCTGTTGGCGCTTTTTATAAAGTCAGTTATTGCTTGTGCTCAAGCGCTCAACTTTTTGGCGGTAAACAAGTTTCGAGAGTTGTGGTCGTTTGCTTTCTGGGCATTCGTGAGGCGCTGTTAGCTGATGTTGAGCTCGCGCTGAACGCGCCAGCGCCAACAAAAAGCGCGTTCGCCGCAAACATCGAGTTTGAATTGAAATGAACGCGGTAAGGCGGTGAGAATGAGCGGCATTAAACGAAACTCGAATAAGCTTCGAGTATCGCACATGCAAAACCAAGCAGAGTTTGAAAAGGTCGTAAC